GAATAGATTTTTATATTTTGAATGATAGGAAGATTGTCGAATTTTTCTTTTCTTTTTCTTTTTTTTTTCTTTATCAATTCCTTGTCGATTTTTGATAGGGGATCAGAGAATGAACGAAATTAGAAATAGAAAGGTGATTTATATTTTGAATGATAGAAAGATTGTCGAATTTTTCTTTTTTTTTTTTTCCCCTATCAATTCCTTGTTGATTTTTAACGAAGGATCAGACAATGAACGAAATCTTCAGAATATTGAAGGACAGATTAATTAGAAATGATTAGAATGATAATAAAATGATAATAAAATGATAATAAATGATATGATATGAATGATAATAAAAAATTAGAAATGATAATTTTTATTTATATAATTTATATATTTATATATATATATATATTTTATAATTTTAATTTATATAATTTTGAGTGACAGAAAGATCGTCGAATTTTTCTTTTCTTTTCTTTTTCTTTTCTTTTTCCCTATCAATTCCTTATCGATTTTTAACGGGATACCGAGGGACACACAAATTAGAAATGGAAAGGTAATTAATGATTTTTATATTTTGACAGAAAGATCGTCAAGTTTTTCTTTTTTCCCCCATCATTTATTCCCTCGGTCGATTCGTTTCATTCGTTTAATCCAATCCGATTAATTCCATTCCTTGACGCGATAAGGAATCGAAATTAACGCGAATGAAAATTAAGGTTCGAGGTTCGCTCGAGCCGCCACTTTCTCCACTTCGTTACAGACACGAGAACGAAACGTAAGTACGAAGGAGGGAGGGGAGTGGGTTTCGAGGGGCGGGGAGGAGGAAGGAAGAAACTTTGCGAAACTTCGAGCCGGTCTGGTTTTCAAGTTCACGAACGGCGGGAAGTCGTCCCCGCGGCGAACCGGAAGGAACGTGTTGGGTTCAGGGACCCGCCAGTGAAAGTCCATCGACGACGACGACGACGACGAAGAAGAAGAAGAAGAAGAGAAGGAACGAAGTTGGCGGCTGTCCGCGCGCGAGTTTCGTGAAATTTCTTTTCTGAATGGCCCAAGGAATCGTACCATAACCTCCTCTGTCCACCATTGCTAAATCGTTAATTAACGAGCGAGCTTCGTGAAATTTCTTTTCTCAATGGCCGATCGTAAAGGAACGCACCATAATCTCCTCTGCTCCCTGTCCACCATTGCTAAATCGTTAATTAACGAACGAGCTTCGTGAAATTTCCTTTTTCTGAATGGAAATCATGAATGGAATGATTGTCTTGCAAGAAGGCGTGCGATATTTTGATTCCAGATTTTTTTTCATATTTTATAAATTTTCTTCTTTCTCAGTATCCTCGATATTGTCAATTTTAATTTATTTTTTCTTTGAAGATTTCTGTATGTATATATAGAAATTATCTTTCAGAACAGCAATCTTAAACGAACGGATCGATTTTTTCCATTTCGTATTTTTATATTTATAAATTTTCTCCTCTCTCAGTATCCTCGATATTGTCAATTTTAATTTATTTTTTCTTTGAAGATTTCTGTATGTATATATAGAAATTATCTTTCAGAACAGCAATCTTAAACGAACGGATCGATTTTTTCCATTTCGTATTTTTATATTTATAAATTTTCTCCTCTCTCAGTATCCTCGATATTGTCAATTTTAACTTATTTTTTCTTTGGAGATTTCTGTATGTATATATAGAAATTATCTTTCAGAACAGCAATCTTAAACGAACGGATCGACTTTTTCCATTTCGTATTTTTATATTTATAAATTTTCTCCTCTCTCAGTATCCTCGATATTGTCAATTTTAACTTATTTTTCCTTTGGAGATTTCTATATATATATAGAAATTGGCGATTATCTTTCAGAACAGTTATTTTAAACGAACAGATCGATTTCTTTAATTCCATTTCTATTTCGTATTTTCATATTTTATAAATTTTCTCCTCTCTCAGTATTCTCGATATTGTCAATTTTAACTTATTTTTTCTTTGGAGATTTCTGTATGTATATATAGAAATTATCTTTCAGAACAGCAATCTTAAACGAACAGATCGATTTTTTCCATTTCTATTTCGTATTTTCATATTTATAAATTTTCACCTCTCTCAGTATCCTGGATATTGTCAATTTTAACTTATTTTTTCTTTGGAGATTTCTATATAAATATAGAAATTGGCGATTATCTTTCAGAACAGCAATCTTAAACGAACAGATCGATTTCTTTAATTGTATTTCTATTTCGTAAATTGATGAAAGATTCGAGATCGAGATAAAGAGAGGACGATTTGCAAGCATTTAAAATCTTAACACGTAACTTCTAACGATCGCGTAACGATCCATTAGTCTAGGATCGTTAATCATACGATTTGCATATCGGTAGATTGGGATACGAGGATAGCATCGATACTATAACGACGAGCTCGCCAAATTCGATTAACGCGAATGAATATTCAATATTCTTATTTTACGAGCCACGAGGAATATATTAAGACCAGGGTTAAAAACTTAATTATTTTAAAATTGCTCAATTATCCGTCATGGCTGTATCTTTCGCCTCGCTTTCTACCCGAGCATCTTTTTCGAATGCACAGGAAGCAAAAACGTTGAAACGATAAATTATTATTACTGTTCCAGCATTAATGATCGAAACTGATTTTTTCCTATAAATTTAACGATTTCCTCTCCTGTAACGACTTTGTTTCAATTTATACTTCCTCCTTCCGATTATTCACCGATCTATCTATTGATTGAAATCTATTGAATCGAATCAGAATGGTTGAAGAGAGTTGAAAGCTTGGCTGTGAGCATCATCGAACAGGTCTCCTTTTCGTATTTTATCTCTGCTATAATAACGATTCTATCTCTGTAAATTGGAGGATTTGGAATGGAATGATTTGCTTCTCATTCAGATTTCCATAGATCATTTTCATAATCGTACTAAAGGAAAAGAAAGAGGAAGTTTTAAGAGTTTTAGAGAAGTAAGCGGCGTTGAAAAAGTAAGTAATTGAAAATGTCGAGTAAAGTTGCTTCAAGTAATTATTTATTGAAATACTCTGATCGTTTGGCATTTTCAATTATTATTACGTTTTGAACGATAAATTATCGAGATATATTCTATTCGTAACTTTAACTATTAAATTTTGTCAAAGAAGTCTCGCGGAAGAAGTGAAAAGATTTGAGAAAAAGTAGTTACGTTTCGAATCATCAATTTTGATCTATCCTCACGATTCGAGAAATAACTATTTTCGACTCGAGCCGTTTATTATTAACGTTTTTATTTCGTCCGATTTTTCGATTTATCGAAAAATTTGAGAAAAAGTAGTTAATTCTTCTCAAAATTTTCGATATCGATAAATCCGAGAAAAACATAAAGAAGAATTAATTACGTTCGAATCATCATCAAGATTCGTCTCACACACGTTCGACGTAAACGATGTTTGATTTATAAATTTCGTACGATTCGATGCAATTCTAACCTATCATTACGATTCGAGAAATAACTATTTTCGACTCTAATTTATTAACGTGTTTTTCTCGTCGGATGTATCGATATCAAAAATTTTGAGAAGAATTAATTATGTTCGAATCATCATTGAGATTCATCTCACATGTTCGATATAAAGGATGTTCGATTTATGAATTTCGTACGATTCGATGCAATTCTAACCTATCGTTACGATTCGAGAAATAACTATTTTCGACCTTAACTTATTAATTGTATTCTTCTCGTCGGATTTATCGATATCGAAAATTTTGAGAAGAATTAATTATATTTGAATCATCATCGAGATTCGTCTCACACATGTTCGATATAAAGGATGTTCGATTTATGAATTTCGTACGATTCGATGCAATTCTAACCTATCGTTACGACTCAAGAAATAAAATATTTTCGACTCTAATTTATTAACGTGTTTTTCTCGTCGGATTTATCGATATCAAAAATTTTGAGAAAAATTAATTATATTTGAATCATCATCGAGATTCGTCTCATATGTTCGATATAAAGGATGTTCGATTTATGAATTTCGTACGATTCGATGCAGTTCTAACCTATCATTACTATTCGAGAAATAACTATTTTCCACTCTAACTTATTAACTGTGTTTTTCTCGTCGGATTTATCGATATCGAAAATTTTGAGAAGAATTAATTATATTTGAATCACCGTCGAGATTCGTCTCACACATGTCCGATTTATAAATTTCGTACGACTCGATGCAGTTCTAACCTATCGTCACGATTCGAGAAATAATCATTTTCAATTCTAATTTATTAACGTCTTTTTGTCGTCGAATTTATCGATAATATATTATCGGAAAATTGATTTTTGAATTGATATCTCGATGATTGAATTTATCGAAAAATAGTTACGTTCGAATCGTCAATTTCGTATGACTCGATGCAGTTCTAACCTATCGTTACGATTCGAGAAATAACTATTGTTCATTGGTGGAAAGAAGTCTCGCGGAAAGAATCTGATTGGTTAATTTGAAGAAAAACGCATTTTTGTCTCTACCGTAATATTCGTCATATATTAATCTAAAATCGATGATCTTTATCCTATATTAGAGTTGGACATTAATCGATGTTAAAAATATTGAATAAATATAATTAATCCATTTGGCATTACAATTATTTCCAATTATTTTTGTAATTTCATTTTGAACGATAAATTATCCAAGTAACTTCGACTATTAAATTTTCCCCCATCACTGAATGGAAAAAAGTCTCGCGGAAGAAATGTGGATCTAATTGGTTAATTTGAAGAGAAACATCTATTTTTCTCTATACCATAGTATTCATCATATATACTAACCCAAAATCGACGATCTGTATTCAAAGTTGAGTTCAATTAACATTAACTCTGTTAAAAATTGGGAATAAAGTTACTTTGAATAATTATTTATTAAAATTGAATAACATTTATTCGTAGCTGTTATAATTGATCCATTTGGCATTATAAATTATTTCCAATTATTATTACGAACGATAAATTATCGAAGCAACTTTATTCGTAATTTCGATCCATTAAATTTTGCCCGCCACTGGCGTGGCATCGGATTCCGGAAGGTCGAGGAAGGTCGCAACGCCACGTTGCCGAGAGAAGACGATCGGCCACTTTCTTTTTCTCGCAACAACCGTTTAAGTGGTCTCGGAAGCTGGGAATAATTTACTTTGCTTTCTTGTCCATTTTACACGGCACACTTTTTTCTTTTTTTTTTTTCCACTTGTATATTTATTTTTCTGAGAAATTTATGCTTTGTTATTATCGCACAGCAGTATACAAGTTCTTATGCAGACTCGATCAAGTAAAAAATATATTTCCTATTTTAATTTCTTATTTTCCAAAACTTACTTATAAACAATTTTTCTCACAATTCTTTTCTGAATATCGAATATTCGTTCAAGAATAATTGAAAAAGCAATTCTCTCGTGATATTTCGATATAAAAAAAAAAAAAAAAATAGAAATCGGAGAAAAATCGT